CTCTTCTCCGACGATCCGTGCGCGCGAGAGCAGTCGAGCAGCAAGGCAAAGCCAGGCGAGACGCCTCTGGTTCACCTACTGGCAGCGGATGCCCGAGTGGGCGGCCCGCATCCTTGCAGTAACAGAAGCAAACGCCTCATGGAAGCCCTCTCAGTCAGACGTTCCGCCGGTGGTCGCTGTTGCAATTCGTTCTATTGGTGGCGGAGATCCTGAGAATGAGAGAGCGAGAGAGCCCCGGCGCCTTGGGGAAGAAGACCGGGAGCGGACCGAAATCAGAACAAGCAACGCACAGGGAGTCCGGCAGACAATTGACTGAATGAACAAATGAGAAGGAATCGAAGAGAAGGCTCCGTGTAGGAGGTGTCTGTTGCTTTTCAATCTAGCACTCAGTCACTCACAGTCGGTCTGACGGCCGACCGACTATTGAGCAGAAGAACGAAGAAGCAAGCGAGAAAATGGGCGATTCCTCGGTCAGTCTGTTTGCGTCGTTCCTCTGACTGAGAGTCTCAAGACACCTGGAGCGGCAACACGGGGTCCGCATCATCATTTCCCTCCTCTAATTCCTCTCGTGCCATAGTTTTGATGGCGACGAAGCCCCGAATCCGGATCGAGACAGACTCCATCGACCTTGAACTCGACGCGTGTTGGCGAAACCGAGCTTCGTTGAATTTCGGTTGACTATTCCTATTCAGTTTGGCGGTCATCGATATCCCGTTCGTGGATAAGCAGCCGCTCAGTAGCCGTACAGTACGCGTCGGGAGACTCACTGAGCGTTGTTCAACCCTGCTCACTGGCTCCCTCCCTCGATGAGCTCGTGTGGGTCGCGATTGCGTAACCCAATCTGTTTTATATAACAAGCCGTAAAAAGACCTTCCCTAGTGTTGGACGCCTCCTTGCTAAGATAGCGTAGGTAGCGAGGTGGATAACAGCTCTCGAGCAAGTGTTGTCTGCCTCCTTCATAGATATGGGACGTGGGCTTCTTCTGTCTGCATAAACACCACAGCGAGGGGCATGGGGGAACAGGTTGCGCGGCAGAAAAAAACAACGATTGTCTCTGACGTGGTTTGCGGGTCTCCTTTGTCAGTCAAGCACGTGGACGGCAGTTGACAAAGTCTTGTTTTTTGCAGGCAACCAGCTGCTTACAATATCCCCAAGCTTCTTGCGAATCGAGAGCGGACACACCGCCTCGTTTTACTGCAACGTCACCGCCATGTTTGACCCAATGGACACGGATGACTTCGGCGTCGAGTGGAGACGCAACGGCGAACGTCTCACTTCGTCGGGGCGGATCAAAGAAACAACGCGATACTCGCTCCAAATCAACGGCGTCACTCGTCTTGATCAGGGAATGTATCAATGCTTCGTCAGTGACAAAACTGGCTGGCTCCAAGCTACTGCTGAGCTCCACATCGGAGGTAAGTTTTTCCCGCAACGAACTCACGGGAAATCTCCCCGACGACGGTTCGGAGTCGAAGCTCGGAACTCGCCTCCCCCCCACCCCGCCCGAGCCTACCCCCCACCCCGCCCGAGCCTACCCCCCGAGTTCGTTGGAGCCTTCTGTCTGTGCCGATTCCGTGCTCTGACAGGGAGAGCCTCGGAACACGGGCAGGATAAGAAAAATCAGGAACGATAAATAGAGAATCGAGCAGGAAAAGGCTTTGTCAGCGAAAGTCGATGGACAGCGTGAAGTCAAAATTTTTCATCGTTACACATCGACGTGTTGTGTCACCTTGAGCCTTCACGTCTGGCTCCGGAGACGTTCGCTTTTCCCTCGAGCCGTTTTCCCGAGAATGAGATTTCTCTTCCAGAACAAGCGCCGACCCTGACATCCGTGTTCCGTGAGCAAACGATTCGGCCAGGAAACTTCATCTCCCTGAAGTGCGTGGCGTCCGGAGATCCCCTTCCAACTATTAGTTGGCGGCTCGATGGTTTTTGGAAGCTCGATAACGGGCCCCGAATTCGAGTCCGCAGCTTTGAAACTCAGATACCTGGAGAAGTGGTCAGCTTCCTCAACATCTCGCTCGTAGAGGTTCGTATACGAATGTTTGAGTCATACATCCGCTGAACAAACAGTGTACCGCCGTTTAGCTCCCGTCAGCTGAGCCAGACGTGCTCCGACGACCCTGAAATCAGGAAGCCTCGTTGTACGGCGAGCATGAGTGATTGACGAGCTATTCCCTCCCACGCGGAGGAAATTTTCACCGAATCGATACGCTTGCAGGTGAGGGATTCCGGAGCTTACGAGTGCATTGCAAGCAACTACGTAGGAAGCACGAGCCACAGCGCAAGATTCAACGTATACGGCTCGCTGTTCACGCGGCAAACCTTGACCAACATGACTGCCCTAGTCGGAAGCACATTCCAGCTGCAGTGTCCTTTCGGGGGTTACCCCTTCGACTCTGTTAGTTGGTCATTAGGTGAGTACCATCGTTCCCCTCCCCGTGCGGTCCAACAGATCCTACGAGCCTGCCCATTCATAGATTCCCCCTCCCACCAGATTCAATGGGAGGGTAATCGTTGCAGAAGGGAGACGACGCGATGGACGAGTCCAGAGAAGCTCTATCTGATTCTATTCACTAACTTCCGCAGATGGTAATCGCCTGCCGGTTAGCCAGAGGCAGGTAGTGCACACCCAAAATGGGACTCTCCTAATTCACGGGGTGGATAGGGACGCCGATCAGGGACGGTACCAGTGTACGGTGCAGAGCGGCGACAAGAACCACCAGGTCCGCCACACTATCACGGTTACAGTCAAATGTGAGTACTTTTCAGATTTTCTCACCCGTTACAGCGTGTCCCCGGGCGACAGATGATCAGTCGATCTGGGACTGATGTTGCTTCCCGGCTCTGTCTCCGGAGAACTCGATTCAATCTGAACTTGAAAAAAAAACGGAGCTGCGTTTGAGTGTCCGGTACCGGCATGTCTCGAGCGTTCTCCCTTCTCAATGAGCTCCTCTCGTCGGTGTGGTTGTTGCTCCCGGGGCGGCCTACCGGTTTGAGTGGTCTTCGGAGAGCAACAAAATGTTTCGCTTCTCCCACAACAACAACAACAGCAACAACACGATCGACAGCTACAAGTTCCGTATTGGGATGAACGGACCAACGGACGGATGGACAGAGAGTTCGGTCCACAGACGGAGAAGGCAGGCGGCTGGCAGACGGAGCAGCCGTACAACTTGCCGAGGATTGGCCACCTGTGCCTTAGCGAGGGGGCTTTTGCAAAGGCAGTCTTCCGCTTTCGCACAAAGCCACAGCACCCCTGCGGAAAGACTGTTCTCCTCCAGGAAGCCAATGGCAAAAATCAATACCGCCTCTTTGCTTCACCGAGCTGTTCGGCTCGCTCAGCGAATGCACCCTTGCATCATTCACTCGCTCGCCCGCTCGTTCGTTGGTTCGCTCACTCACTCGTTCCGATGCCGCTGGATATTCTCCCAAAAGTAACGCTGCGCTTGCACGCACAATGGCACCAGAGCTTCGCGCAGACCGTACTAATATCTGTGCGACTGCGTGAGATGATCCGGCCGGGGGAACGTCGACGGACACGCCGTATGAACAGACTCACGAGACGACCGACCATCAGGAGCGAGAACGCGTCGGAGTAATTGTCGTTTCTCTGACATTCTCGTTGTACCGCCCCCACCGTTTCGTGCGCCATCCTCGTCGGTCGGTCATACGTACAGTGCAAACTCCATCACATTCCTCGCTTCACATTCACGCTCATGTTCATTTATCAATTCATTTTTTTCCGCGCTATTCATTCGCGAGAGTCTTCACCGAAGAAACTTTATTTTATTAATACCACTCTCACTCTCAGAGTGGAGAAGGAGGAGTGCAGAGGCTCCGGTGCTCGGACGTGGTGTCCGAGCGTGAGCCGAGCTCGAGCCGAGGAGATAGGATCCCGGCGAATTCGGCTCATAATCAGGGAGGAACACGCGGGAGGCAGAACTAATCCGCTGCTATCGATGGATCGGGAAAAAAAGATGCACAAGAAGAAAAACTAGCCGACAATTATCAAAGCAGCGGAGCGTGACCGCGAGTCCGTCAGGCCGTTTATCGACAAGGAACTGATATGATCCTAAGCCCCCTACAGGAACTGTCTGGTGGTCCGATATTCTACGGGACGTTCTCGCGCAGAGGGCATCAAATCACTGTTCCTCCTCGATGCCTTATTCGACCATCCACGTCGAGTTTCATCTCGGGACTGGATTTGGGAGCGGAAAAAGGAATCTACCAAGTTCTATGTCATGCCGAGCTCGAACTCTGCATTTCTTTTCGGGTGAGAGAGGGTGCCCCTCTCGGGCGGGTGCTAAACACCGGGTTTTCCCGAACCCCCACAGTTTCCCCGATATTTGTCGAGGGATCCCCAGTTTGGCGGAGGTGTACCCAACTTTTGGGGGCGGAGGAGCGTGCGCGCAGGTCGCCGCCCCGACGGTCAGTCGAGGCGAACTAGACAATCTTGGCAAGCTGAGCAAGCCAGCGCGGGGAGCATGCACGAGAAGCTGCCTACTTCACTGACTGCATCCGCTCCAGCTCTATGAATAATGGAGAAGCTCCTTTTTCTTTTCATCCAGAATACATCAAGATATGTTGGAAGATAGCTAGCGCACTCTCAGGTACGGGTTGATGCCTCTGCCGCCGTCGCTGCCGAGTGGGATGCAAGGAGGGCTCGAAGAAGAAAAAGACCGGACCAGACGGGGCGGAATGGTTCGGCGAGGGAAGCCGAGCTTCGCCTCCGGGGCAGTACCGGCAGCAGGCATCAAGCTAAGTAAGACAGATTATACACTCTGTGGTAGTGCGGCAGTAGCGGTGGACGCCGCGTCAGAGGTGAGCGGCAGATAACGAGACACAGCCCGACTGACGGCAGACAGATAGTCGGACGTACGGACCGCCTTCACGGAAATCTTGGCTTCCGTTGACTTCTACGGGGCTGCGTTCCGTTCGACCGCGACACGGAATGCGTAGCTCGTAGCCGGTTGAGTTCGCGTTCGATTTGGTAGACGAAGAGCAAAGGGAGAGCCACGGTCCGAGTCGGAGCTCTCCGAGGCCGATTCTCCGCGAGTGAAATTATTGCATAAAGCGAAAGTCGTTCACACGTCTTCATGGTGAGCCTCCCGGCTCCCAGGTCGTCTCTCACTTCATCAAGCTGTCATCTTGATCTTGATGTTCGAAAGGCGAAAACACATCGCTATTCAAGAGAGCGATCCATCCTCCGCTCGTTTTCTCTATCATTGATGCTATTCACTCCGGAAAGAAGAGCGATTGCTCTTAGCCCCCCTGGAGCCGACGTTGCTCTCACCTGCCCCACGTCAAACTCGAGTCGTCTGCCCGGGAGCGAATCCTGCGTGGACGGAGAATATTAACTCGAAAATTCCAAGCGTGGGTCTTACGCTCAGATCGCGTGACTTCCGAGTGACATTCGACGATTCGAGCCCTTCCGGAAGGTTCTTCCGGAGTATGTAGCCCGAGACCGCGCGCCCCGTATTTTCCCTCGGCAAGAGCGTGAAGATACGCTCCGTAACTTTTTGTCTCGGCGCTTCCCTTTGTGTCTCTCCATGTGCCTAGATATATCGGTACTGGAAGGAACGAGCCGGATTGGATGGTCTTTTGAAAGTTTCACGTTTTACGAGTCTTAGTTGAAAAGCCTCTCTCGGAAGCAGCGCTGGCGGTGGCCTTAGTCTGTTTCTCGCTCGTCCTCTCGTTTCTCTGTTCATCTGTTTTATTGGCCGTTAGCTACCAGTGCCGTGTTGCACGAGCCCCGGAACCGCGACTGGCGGCCCCGACGACCACGCCGCGCCGCCGGCGTCGGGTAGGGGCGCTTCAACTACTTTAATTCCAACTTCACGTGGCTTGAGCGTAAACTGGAAAAAGAGGAATGGACAAAGGTGGCAGGCACGCGGACCGACCGAACAGAGACCACCAGGATACGAACCTGCGAACGAATAAAGGAAACTTGGGCGCCCCCAAGAGGAAGTCGGAACAGACGTCCGTCGATGAAAACCTCGTAAAGAATTGCGAATTGTGAGGCTAGCTGTTTGTGCAAAGCGGCGTTTGATGTTGCGTAGGGAGACCGGACGCGGAATGGGGTCAGAATACTGTGGAGGAGGAGGTCGATTGACGTAGCGGTATCGTATTGGATGTGATGTGACACGATATGGTCTGGCGTATTCGGAGAATGATGGACATGAGGAATGATCCTCCGCACCTCGGAGGGGCTCGAGGTGAATTCGCCTCAGTGAGCTTCCTTATGCTGCACGTCAAGAAGATGAGGACTGCGTACGTACGTCAACGAGTGAGTAAGTGAAGGGTTCCGTCACGAATGAGAATAAGGAAAAATAGGGAGACGAGAATCAAGGGGACTGGGCTAGGCAAGATGGATTCTCCAAGCTCCTCCGCAGCTACTAAATGGAAACGCGTCGTAGAGCAAAAAGCGCGCGTTGGGAGACCGACGCGACGACGGACCGGCCACGAAGTCCCGGCAGTCGTTTATGCCTTCCCACTCCCAAGGGCCTCGTTGGCCATGCGACGAGACGCATCCTTTTTCGCCGCCGTCAGTGTCGCCTTATTTTTCCTACGACCTCCTCGTATTTTAGGCATTACCTCCTAATTCCCCGTCTTCGCCACGGTATTTTCCCGCTCCGCGGTATGCAAGTCATTTTTTCCTTGATTCTCTACCTATTCCCTCATCCTCCGAGCGACCCTTCGCGCTCTTCGTTTCTGTGTCACGTTCTCTTCGTTCGTTCCTTATTCATTGTCCATACGTTTTCTCTTTTACTCTTGATTCCTGCTCATTATTCCTACACCACTTTCGTCTTCGTCCTTCAACTCTGTCTGCCCTCGTCTGTCGCTCTCTCTCTCTCTCTCATTTCGCTTCTCATTACTATCCTGTTCCGCCGAAGATTTCCGTGGAACGGTCGTCGACGCGACGTGTTGGTTGCCGGATCCGGATGTCGAAGCTGGAAATTGAATCCTATTCCGCTTTGCCGCCGTCGGACTTCCCATCTTTTGTTCCCGACGAGGGAGCCCTCTTAATTGCGAATAATATCCGAGAGAAGTTCTGTCGGAGTGGATTGAAAAACGAAGAGAACAGCAGAAGAAACAGTTACTAAGAGAATTTGGGAAGACCATCTATCTCGTTTTAGCCAACCGTTTTCAAGCCTCTCGACTGACTTCTCCCGCTCTGCTCCTCGCTTAGCCATCCCCGCAACATCTTTCCTTTTTAGTGGGACGCGACTTCAAGACTGCGACAGACTCCGTTCCTCGCGCCTTTTCCTCCCGCTCTCGTAGCCTTCAGCTGCTGAAATCCTGTCGCGACGGCGACCAAATTGGGAATCAATCCTGATTCCAACGTCTGGTCTCCTTTCGCGTTGCCCGTTCTCCGTTGTGCTGTGTCCCTCTCCGCTTGCTCGATCTCCTCCTCCTTTCCAGTTTCCGTCTAATTCTCGAACCCAGACCATTCTCGTCGGATTCATGATTCCTCTATCACCCCGAGGATCTCTGTTCCTCCTCCGAGTCCTTCCGGGGGTTTTGGACCGAATATCAAACGAATACCGCACCTGCACATGTTGCTTCATTCACGTGTCCGGCGAGGTCGAGGAGCAACGTCGAATTTCTGAAGCGTTTCCGAACGAGCTCGAAAAACATCCGTACCAGAGCTTGCCCCGGTAGCTATCGAATTGACGTCTACGCTGTCGCTGACGGCTCCTTGATGGAGTCCCTTCCTCCGCGAGGAATCTAATCACCTCACACTGTCGACAATG